AAATTGCTGGAGCGTATAAAACCCCACTCAATGGATATGCGTGGCCAACATCCTAGTATCCAAAATCAAAGCCAGCTATCATACCCATTGAACTATCATGTCCGCAAATTTGCGGCTGCATTTTCGGGCTCCATTTCCCTGTCTGAAGACAGCAGCGATTTTGGGTACGGTTAAACCACCAGGAAAAATCAACACATCTATTTGTTACTCTAAAATATACTGTAGACCCTGAAAATCATTATTGTTTGGAGGAACATTTTTTTTTTTTTTAACTCCCTTATTGGCAGGATATTAAGATATTTTGGGGGATGGTATGGTATGTACAAACATATGAACATATATCAAAATATATTTCTATGCATAGTATATATATATATATACATATCAACTATACTATATATATATATATACATCTAACAAAACAATAGATCAAACTATATATATATATATATCACATTATATCACTAACTCTCAATGATATCTCCCTGACATTTCGCCAGGTGAAGAGGAGGGCTTCGACCCCATGGGCTTCTCGCTGGCCATCGACATCCGCTGGCTCCGCGAAGCGGAGCTGAAGCACGGCCGCGTGGCGATGCTGGCCACCGTGGGCTGGATCACGTGCCCCGGACGCGACGGTGATGGGATGTTCCATGGGATTTTCCAGGTAGAACTCTGAGAACTATGGGGCTGGGGAAAAATGCCAGGAATGAGGATGATTTGATGAACATATGCGAGTTTGGAAGCTTCTTAAGTGGGTATAGTGGGCTCTTAATGGGTTTACAATGAGAAAATCATCTACCTTGTAACTATGGTCATTTATCGACTTCGTCAGGGTAAGCCTCATGATCATCTCCCAAATTGCAGGGCATCTGAACCAAACTAATCGAATCCCATCCAATCTCCGCAATATCGCACCTTCATTGTACCCATATATCTCCTACCTTGGCTAGTTTCATCCTTTAGTAAGCTTGCTGGATACCAAACACCATCCATAACTTCGGGTGAACTATCAAAGGTTGACCTTTTGGAACTGCACTCCCAAGTAGGGGCTGCAACTGGGGGAACTGGAACAAGTTGGAAGTTGGGACTGTAACCGGATGGAACTTCCAAGAAGATTTCTTAACATTGGGATGTTGTTCCTGGAAATGATTGATTCTGTTCCTTAAACCATTACATGTGTAAGAACCATTATAGACTATTATATAATTGTTCCTGGAACATGGCTTAAAGATATATTAAGATTATATAAGGCCCGAAAATCCCAATGAATGATTTTCCCCTTGGGTCAATGGTGGGTTGACACACTATGGCCTATGGCGGGTAAAATGAGTCATTGGACTTTAAGACTTTCAGGGAATGGAAGAACGACATTTCATGGATTGTTCAAACATGACGTATCCCATTCCAGCCCATTGTTACAATGTGAGGCCCCCAAGATAGCTAAGTTGGTTTGTAACTCCAATAACTATGGTTGATGGTACTTATAACTATAGTTACTGGGGCTTATAAACCAACTTATAACTGGGGGGCCTCACATTGTAAAAAAATATGCCTCCCACAGGCCATAAATTGGGGTATACCACATTTCTGGACAATCTACACGCATTTTGGTGTTGGTTCGCCTCATATCTCATTTCTATTGATTGACTCGCTATGAGTTTGCATGTTTTACTGTTGGTTTGCCTGAAATTTAGGAATCTAATGTTGCCATATGTTGCCAATTATGCCTTGGTTCCAAAAACCCCAGGTGCACGCGTCTGACACTTGGTATACCTCCAAATGCAGTCTTTCATGGGGAAAAAGCATGTCACCAGTTGATTGAAGGGCATGTCAAACACTTTCGGCTCACTTCCGGGTCAGACATCCGGTGGAACACCAATATAAATAACATCAAAATCCATGAAAATCCTCCACTTTGACAAATCACACTAAGTCTAAATCCCCAATTCCAAATCCCCAAATTTGTAACATCAGTTATTTTTAATCCCCATCTTTCCTTTCAACAACATCCTTAAAAAACCAAAAACAACGTGTTCGTCGTCGTTTCGTTCCCCAGGACGGATCTGGGTCTGCGGGTCCCGGGCGACGCCTTTCAGATCTCCACCATCGAGGCGCATGACGCCATGGTGAAGTTCGGCAGCATGCCGCAGATCTTGGCCTCGCGGCAATCAACGGACGGCGAGCGACGGTGGAGCTGGGGGTTAAGGTGATTGGTTGACGATGGATTCTTGTAAATAACATAATATATATATATAGATAATTAATAACAATAATGACATGATTTTTGATAGATGTGCATGTGTATGGTGAATGTTTTACATAGGAGCTCTTTTGGGTCGGAAATCCCGTCACTCCAGTTGTGGCTGAACAATCAATAGTGACTCTGACACCGGTCTGACACCTCTTTTTGCTTCTCACGAATGAAGCAATGAGAAGAGGATGCTATGGCCCGTGTTTTGAATTTGATGGACGAAACTTTTGTAATTCTCACGTGCACCTGTTGGGAGCCTCATAAAGGATTGTGTCGGGCGAATACGTGTGTACCATGCTATGGCTGTGGATTTGTTTTCTTCTTAGACAAAATCTTTGTTTCAACCCTGCAAGAACTCAAAAACTCAGATCTCCGACAGAACTGTGGATGCACAGTGGAAATGGCGATATATTGTGGTTCCGAGTCAAATTTCTGGCACTATAAATATCTATAAATCATGGATGTTCTACCTATCATCTGACATCCATGTCACAGCGAGTTCACTGTCAATAGGTGCCGCGAGAAACCACAAGACTCACAAGACATTCGAACCTCTTGGGTTCTTCCCTCAGGCACTCTAACAAGGCTATGGACAATCACGACTGTCGTCGTCCTTCATTTTGACTGGTGAATTTCTGTCCCTAGATTTGTGGAGGGTACTCAATCTTGGGAGTCGCGCTGCAGTTTGATCAAGTTTCGAGTTTTTTTTGTTTCCACCCAACAACCAGGAGAACCGTCTATTTAAAATTAGTTCAACAATTGTTTCTTGTTTGCACAAGTAGACATTATAACCTGATTTCACAGCTACGCATTTAGTTCCAGGACTTCCCAAGAATCGACATGTTTCAATGTCCCTATCCCACAATGTGAGGCCCCCGTTGGATAGCGTTCAGTTGGTGAACATAACTCCAAAAACTATGGAATTTATGGTGCGCAAATAACTATAGTTACTGGGGCGAATCTAAACCAACAAACATCACTGGGGGGCCTCACATTGTATCCTATTATCATCGATTGATCATGATAATATGGCGATAAACTACCTGATAATATGAACGCATATCCTATTATCAGGAATATCATCGATTAGCCTTATATTATCCCACTACCCTCCCTATTAATCTGAGTTCATATTGAACTACAAGCATGAAACCTCCATTTTGGGGGATCATATCACAAGGTGGTGCCCCAGTTCGGAATCGCTAAGTTGGTGCCAATGTTAGTCCTTAATTTCACTGTTGGGTTTATATTTATGGGGGTGAACTATCAAACTAGTATTCATGGGGATTATAAACCAACGTTCACATACCCTCTGGTAATTTAACATAGCTATGGAAAGATGCACCATTTTCAATGGGAAAATCCACTATTTCTATGGTCATTTTCAATAGCTATTTTGACATAACCAGAGGGTATGTTTGTTGGTTTATAATCCCCATGAATACTATAGATAGTTCACCCCCATAAATATAAACCCAACAGTGAAATTAAGGACTAACATGGGCACCAACTTAGCGATTCCGAACTGGGGCACCACCTTGCATCATCAAATCCCCATGTTGGATCCCATATTCGATCCCATGAGATCCCAGGTCTGGCTGGGCTACTTGGAACTCTTCGGATTCCTGACGATCATCAACATGTGACTTGGGCTACCGTGATCATTTTGGGAAGAACACAAGAAAAACCATGAAGAAATATTCTACACTATGTATATATATATATATATACATATTATATGTAATATAGATTATAATATATAATTGTATATATATATACATATCCACATGTATGTATACATATATATATATACATACGTACTGTGTATATACAGACGTATTGTATACATATATGGGTATGGTATGGTTCACAATGAGCGACCCCAACATTTTGATGATCTTAACATGAGAAGTTTGCTGGGTCGATTTGGTACATCACTTTATATTCCCCATGTAGCGACAATTGGAGATCATCCACTGTCAAAGTGCAAAGAGACATTGACAAAGGTACCACGATTTTGTTGGGATGAAAGACTGGTGCTACTGTAGACTATTTTTGTTTGTTTGTTTTTTGTACTATTTTTTTTTGCTGATCATAAAACAATATAAAACATTCCCAAATTTGCCAGAACTGGCTTGTTGAAACATGCTGAAACCATGGGACCCGCGAGTTAAGATCCCTGGGACCCCTCCGGCCGCTCCAAGGCAGGAGGGCAAAACGGATCGCAAGCCAGGCGTGAAATCAATGAGCCACCGGAATCCGCCAGTTGGGTGCCCTGAAAATGGAATACAGTCTTTCTCTCTCTCTCTCTCTTTCTATATATATGGTGCAGCGTTGGCCACCCCCCCCTATATATGGTGCAGCGTTGGCCACCCCCCCCCCCCCCCCACCAATGGGTATGGGTGGACAGTATGGTATGTTGGTATGTTGGTATGTTGGTATGTTGGTATGTTGGTATGTTGGTATGTTGGTATGTTGGTATGTTGGTATGTTGGTATGTTGGTATGTAGGTATGTAGGTATGTAGGTATGTAGGTATGTAGGTATGTAGGTATGTAGGTATGTAGGTATGTAGGTATGTAGGTATGTAGGTATGTAGGTATGTAGGTATGTAGGTATGTAGGTATGTAGGTATGTAGGTATGTAGGTATGGATGTATGGATGTATGGATGTATGGATGTATGGATGTATGGATGTATGGATGTATGGATGGATGTGTGTATGTATGTATGTATGTATGTACGTATGTATGTATGTATGTATGTATGTATGTGTGTGTGTGTGCGTATGTGCGTATGTGCGTATGTGTGTATGTGTGTATGTATGTATGTATGTATGTATGTATGTATGTATGTATGTATGTATGTATGTATGTATGTATGTATGTATGTATGTATGTAGTATGTATGTATGTATGTATGTATGTATGTATGTATGTATGTATGTATGTATGTATGTATGTATGTATGTATGTATTATGTATGTATGTATGTATGTATGTATGTATGTATGTATGTATGTATGTATGTATGTATGTATGTATGTATGTATGTATGTATGTATGTATGTATGTATGTATGTATGTATGTATGTATGTTGTATGTATGTTGTATGTATGTATGTATGTATGTATGTATGTATGTATGTATGTATGTATGTATGTATGTATGTATGTATGTATGTATGTATGTATGTATGTTATGTTATGGTATGTTATGGTATGTTATGTTATGTTATGTTATGTTATGTTATGTTATGTTATGTTAATGTTATGTAATGTTATGTAATGTTATGTAATGTTATGTAATGTTATGTAATGTTATGTAATGTTATGTTATGTTATGTAATGTTATGTAATGTTATGTAATGTTATGTAATGTTATGTAATGTTATGTAATGTTATGTAATGTTATGTAATGTTATGTAATGTTATGTAATGTTATGTAATGGTATGTAATGGTATGTAATGGTATGTAATGTTATGTAATGTTATGTAATGTTATGTAATGTTATGTAATGTTATGTAATGTTATGTAATGTTATGTAATGTTATGTAATGTTATGTAATGTTATGTAATGTTATGTAATGTTATGTAATGTTATGTTATGTAATGTTATGTAATGTTATGTAATGTTATGTAATGTTATGTAATGTTATGTAATGTTATGTAATGTTATGTAATGTAATGTAATGTAATGTAATGTAATGTAATGTAATGTAATGTAATGTAATGTAATGTAATGTATGTATGTATGGAATGTAAGGTAGGGTAATGTAAGGTAAGGTAAGGTAATGTAAGGTAAGGTAAGGTAATGTAAGGTAAGGTAATGAAATGGTATGTATGTATGTATGTACGTAGGTATGTAGGTAGGTATGTATGTATGTATGTATGTATGTATGTATGTATGGAATGTAAGGTAAGGTAATGTAAGGTAAGGTAAGGTAATGTAAGGTAAGGTAATGTAATGGTATGTATGTATGTATGTACGTAGGTATGTAGGTAGGTAGGTAGGTAGGTATGTAGGTATGTATGTATGTATATACACCACCACAGGGGCATCATACCCCCCCCCATGGGATGGGAACACGGGACCATATATATATAATATAATATAATATAATAATAACAATATTATATATATATATATACAAACATATTATATATATATAATAAAAAAATATTATATAGATACAATAATTATAGATATACATATATATATATATATATACAATAATTATGTATGTATATGTATACACAATGCTGACTACCAAACTAACCAGTGGATCTATTATTGGTACCATTTGTTTAGACAAAAGTATGCTTAGCCTGGCCCGTTGGGGGATGGTCTACCATGGCATGGCAGGGTTTAGCACAGAAATATATCAAACATATAGGGAAACCATAGGGAAACCATAGGGAAACCATAGGGAAACCATAGGGAAACCATAGGGAAATGGATTTAACTGCTTGGTGGTTTGGAACATGAATTTTATGTTTCCATATATTGGGAATATAATAATACCAACTGGTTAATATTTTTCATAGGGGTTGAAACCATCAACCAGATAGGTTTCCCAATTACTAGGACCCCAAATCATAAGAGGATTTCCATGAAATAAATCGTCCAGGTACATTGGGGTATCCCCATGACTTAGAAACCCCCCCAACTAGATATGGCTACCCCCAGTCTCATCCATGTCATGACCATGACTTCGTATTGGAAAAACCGGTGACGACTGGGGATCCATCATTTCAAGAACCCCCCAGATATAGTGGGACTAGAGGGGGAAAACCTATGGTGAGGGGGGATCCAATCTGACGTTCAGGTGACTTTGGCTTGCGAGGCTTTTACCCAGCCGATGCCAAGGGCCAGTATGATATGCAGCTCAAGGCGGAGTGATGTCTCGAATCTGTAGGGATTAATAAAGGGAACATGGGCAATCTTTGATTCCACAAAAAATAGTCATATTTGCTAGTTATGGTTATTTTCCATTTATAGCCAGCTTTAAAAACTAAAGGATTAAAGTACCTATCCAAGATTGGGGATGTAAAACCAGATTTGGCAATAGCAATTTAAGATCATTGAAGTACATAAACCATGTTTGTTCCTGATCTGCAACTCAACTTTATGGAATGTCATTCGGGTATATAATATATATAAACATTCTCTAGGGATAGAATTTAACTACCAACAAACGGTAAATGAACAGGGGATGGTGCACCTGGAGGTGGATCTGCAGCTTCTGTGAAAAAGGTTGGTGAAGCATGGTGAACCATCCATAGTGATTAAAATCTCTTCCCCATGGTTGGTTTCTCCCTTTAACTGTCTTTAACTGCAATGATTCTATGATGTTTAGACGTTTCTTGGCCCTTTTTTTGGCACCTCTTTTGTAGCGCTGAAGTTCAGTGTTTTTTTGAGCAGCATGGAGCAACATGGCTTGGATTTACGACCTCACTGTGACGGGAGTGGAATGATAGGGGTTAGTATCCCCAAATGGCCTTGTCCCAGGTTAAAGTGAATTGGAGGTTTCCTAAAATAGGGGTACCCCAAATCATCTATTTTAAGAGGATTTTCCATTATAATCATTAAACAATCCAGCTATGGGGGTACCTCCATTTTAGGAAACCACCAATTATTCTGATTTATCCAGATTCATGTTAGATTGTTGTCAGGTTTTCAGCTTTGAGAACTGGTCTGCAGTACATCCACATGTTTGTCTACAAAGCGAAAACCAAGTCCAGTGGTTTATCACAAGTTTCCCCATTCAGTCGGTGGCTCTCATTTGGGGGAGCTATAACATATATATTGTACATTGACATACATACCACTCCTCATACATCACAAGATTATGATATATTAGGTATAGGCGGTATAGGTATATACATACTGTGCATATAAATTGTATATATATATATGATTATATATGTATACATAGTCATATTATTTACACTATATATATATATATCCATATTTACATGTTTATTAAAACCTACAAACAGTATCTACTCCTTCCACCCTTTTTTGTCACGTTACGATTTTTCAGGAGTTGCGCAACGGGCGCCTGGCCATGTTGGCCTTCTCCGGAATCGCCACCGTGGGAGTGTTGACGCAGGTGCCATGGCTGTTGGGATGGAAAACCATAGGAAAATCATAGGAACATGCTGAGTTAACCCATGAAAAATGGTGATTTGACCAAGAAAAATGGATGACAAACCATGACAAACCAACAAAAATAGTGATTTAACCAAAGAAAATGGATGATGAACCCATGAAAATCATGATTTGACCCCCAATTTTTCATTGTCATTTTACAATTTATCATGGGGATTGAAGTATTGACGATTGGGGTTGAAACGAAACAAAATTTGTGATGAACCAACCTTTCAACACTGGAACCTATTTTGGGTCCGTCGTAAGTTTGTATACTATAATGTTTGACCCCATTTGCTGGTCTTATATACTTGTATCATTCATATATAATTATATATAATTATGTATAATTATATATAATTATATATATAATTATATTGTATGTATATATATATATGTATGTATATATACATATGTATATATATATATGTATGTATGTATATATATATATATATATGTATGTATATATATATTATAATAGTATATATGAAAAAAACAACTATGTATTTAGCTGGCCACCTACGTTTCAACCAAGAAACAGCTGCTGTTTCGGAGGAGAAGTGGCCTTTCTTCGACGCCGTGGTCAACGCCGTTCCCGCTTCGCAGGAGGCAAGCAGCGCCCTTTGCGGCAGCGTGACTTGGCGATATTTATATATATATATATATTATATTGATATCTATGTTTTTGTATTTATTTTTATGTATATATACTATATGTGTGTATATGTACACTATATTATTTGTATATAGCAATTATACATTTTAAGCTAAACCAATCATAAATGTTAGTAATAAACACCATGTTAGTAAAGCAAATCAAGCGCCCGCACAGTTGATGAATTATGCCACCCATAAATTGTGAAATTGGGGATGGTGGATCCTATTGCTTTACTCACCTTATATTATATTATAGTAAAGATACATTTTACGGTATTACAATCAGAAAGGTTTTAGTCAAAGTTCAATCTATCACTATCTCAGGACTGCGGGTACCTTATTTTCAGACAAACCTATATTTACGGTGGTTCAGCATCACTTCTTTTTCTGCGTGTGCGTGTGTGTGTGTGCAAATCTTAACATGTTTGAACATAACCCATATATGTTTGTCATTTTAGGTTGCACTCTGCAAAAGTTTGGGACATTCTCTGGCAGTTCTTTCTATTCCTTACTTGTTGGTTTCATAGAATCTTTGCATCCTTAAATGGGATGATGAAGGGTTGAAACAAGCAACCAGAAATCATGCTCTAACGTTGCCATTTTGGCCCATTGTGGGGGCTGTCAATTCCATATTTTTCAGACACACGCATATCAATCTATAATATTATTGTTTAATTTTATGTTATAGCATATCCTCATCATATCCCTGTTCTGTACCCATTATCCCCCAGCCAGCTACCCTGAGGGTTTCGTAGCCAAATCGGTGCCATTTTCCCAAAGTTTACAAACCTCATGCGGCATGCCGGGTACCGGGGTACCGCAAGCAAGCGCAGATCCAAGGCTGGACTCACTGGCCGGAGCAGCACAGTGGCACGCCATGCCAGCAGCAGCAAATCCATGCCCTTCCTGCCCAAACCGCAAAACCTTGGAGGTTTGGTGGGCGGCTTGGAGGAATGGTCGCGGCAAGCGACCAGGTAATCAGATGTTTCCCTAAGGGTAAGGATTCAACCTTGATTTAACATGGGGGGGTTGTGGGTTTAACCAACAAACATCTGCAAATTGTACAGTAAGCGAGTGATGAGTTGAGAAAAAATGGTTCACAAACAAGATTAGGAAAACAAAACATATATTCACAAAAAAATAAACAGACATGGGATATAAACAGCAACCAATTGGGTATATTGGTGAACCATGGTAAACCTTGGATGTGTACTTTAGCCATTTACTGCTATAAGCCGATATATATATATACAATATATATATATACAATATATATATATATATATACAATATATATATATATATATACAATAAGGTTTCGGCTAGCAGTGGTAGGGGGCCCCTCACTCCAATCGCTGCGCTACTGCGACCTTAGCGGGACAGCGTTGTCGTCCCGCGGGCTGGCGAGCAATTCTCCTGCTTTCGCTCAGCCTTACACAACGGAAAGTGCTCTGCTGATAGTGGCCGCATCAGCATCACCAGCAATCTTCGGCCCACGATCTACGTCCTGGTGATCGGGCTTGCACCATCAGCGCTACTTCCAGTACCTGGTGGATGAGCTTCTACCTCATCTACATCCTTGTGATTTTCTACCTGCAGGGCAGCGGCGACATTGACTCAAAGGAGACGTTCCAGACGGCAGAGAGCGAAGGCAAGGTATTTGTGGCATTGTTACAAAACTGGCCGGTAGCAACTGCGAGCGGGACACTTTGTGCAAGCATTGCGGGTTCTCCGACAGCATCATTCGAGAGATCCGACTTTCCTTGCCAACATCCACAGAGCAATGTCGACTGTAGCAACCAAAGAACCCTGGCGCTGCAAGTTTTGCCTTCGGTTGAACAAGCAGAAGGCAATTCGGTGTGGTACGTGCGACACTGTATGGCAGAAATGCTACGACAGCTATTATGTCCACAACCAGACGCCGCGGCAGGCAGCATGGAACTACACTGGATGGACGCAAGAAGAGGAAGAAGCATGGGACCCTGCTACAGCAAGGTCCTCGAAGTCACCAAGGCGAAAAACAGGGAAGTCGCCGAGACGTCCCAAGAAGAACAAGGAGGATTCTGCAGTGCCAGCATTCGACCCACCATGGAATGCCAAGTGGACACCAACAGCACCGGCGAATCTGCCGGCAGACAATGGTGCCTCGCAAGGGCAGGCAGAGCAGCAACTGCAGAGTCTCGTGGCGAAGCTCAAGGAAAAGGAGACGGCATTGAGCCCAGAAGAGGTGGAGCAGATCATTGCAGAGACCACAAACAGGGCAGTGACGTCAAAAAACCTAAACCAGGCGGCCAAGAAGTTAGATCAAGCACGAGAACGTTTCCAAGGAGCTCAACGAGAGCGATGCGATCTTCACAGCAAATGGAGTGCCTACATCGAGGAGAGCGTGAAGAGGTGGCGAACCTTTGCGGAGGACTTTGCCTCGAAGGACAAAGCACTGGAGGACAAGGTTCTGCAGGCGAAGGAGGTCATGCAGGCGGCACGCACCAACCTCGAGAAGATCAAGGAGCTCCACACCAAGCAGGACGAAGCTTTCTTGGGGGACGTCACAGAGGTGCCGTCCGAAACCGAGGAAGACAGCATGAAAGTGGAGACATCAGAGGTCATCCAACAAGGAATTGCATCGATGCTGAGCAGCCTGGACTCCATTCGAGTCAAACCAGCAGACGAGGCAGAGGCAGAGACCAATGTTGCAAAGAAGCCCAGACTGGCCGAATCCGGGCCTGGATCTGCTGCATTGCAACCTTTTGGCAAGCCGGGCAAGTAGACAGAAGTGAGGCTTGCTCTAGGCATACAGCTGACCTGTGCTTCCAAAATAGTCCTGAAATTTGGAATCACAGCATCATGCAAGAAGATTGCTTTCTGAACCCATGGGATGCCAGCATACGCGCGCTTGACCTGTCTCACGAAGTTGGGACATGGAGCTCAGGCAGCACCTGGATTATCACAGAGGGAGTTCGAAAAGGTCAACATCGACGTGTAAGATTTTCCAATGATGTGGAGCTCTATGTGGGTCATGAGTTTGACATCGAGATGACTAGGTGCACATCAAGTTTGAGGACGCCTAGTTCCCATCATCAGATTTTTCAACCAGCAATTCGATTGAAGTCCATAGATCCAAGTGACGAAGACGAAGATGCTTCATTACTGGCAGTTCATGCAGCTCATCTGAGGGACATTGAGCACGCTGACATCACTATGGACCCAACTTTTGCACGTGAACCACAAGAGGTCAATGAACAGGACGAGCTTGTGGATCATGACACGGATTCCGAATCGTCATATGAGCAGTCCACGGTAGAACGTCCACCCAGACGTGATCTTTGGCGCTCGACCATGATTTTTGCGATCAACAGAGAGGCTGTCAACAGGATCGTCGACTGGAATGACTTTCATCTCATGCAGAACACAATTGCAGCAGCTGTCCAAGTCGACACCGTTGATCTGCTCAACTTTCATCATGTTGAAACTCAACCGCAAGACCTACGTCGTGCGAATGTTGAGGCGGTGATTGCACACAGAAGCCATGATGTTCAGCCAGGTGATCAAAGACCCCTGGCCCTGCTGGATATTGAATTCCATTCCAACAGCTTGCAGCATCCACCAGAAACTGTGAGAAAGGTTCATAAAATTCCAAGCAGGATAAGTCGCCAACGACTTTTAGAACAACTTGGACTTCAAGCATTCTGCAAACGCAGCAGAAACCGATGTCTGCTCTGGGTCAATGATGACCTCATCCCATTCATGACCAAGAGCATTCCTCTACATGATGGCGATTATGTACGAGTAGCTGTGCCACCCGGAGGGCCCCGCATCGACCACATAGCAACGCGATGCTTGGCTAGCGCATTTTGCCAGGGCTACACAATCAACGAAATACTGGAAAGGCATACTCTCTACATGTTGGGATGGTACGACACTGTGATTGGACCACCACATGTTCCTCTTCCATTTCCTCATGAAGAAGAAGACAGCAATGTCCTGCTGCAACGAGCTGCAGTGAAGAGCCTTCCAGATCTCGACACTGGTCCTTCACCATATGCAGGCTGGCATGTACACGGTCAAGTATGCCCTGGTGCTATACGCCTGAGATTGGAGGACGATGATGAAGGAGCTGAACAAGCCCCATCAAGATTGAGTCCATGGCATCAACACCTACCAGGTCAAGATGACGCTCTACTTGAAAGACAGCCGTCTATCATTCAAGAGCTCTTCATGACCCTTGTGCACTTTGCCAGAGTCAATCCCGACTTTGCAGAAGAGGATTTTGCGGCCCACACTTGGTATCTGGATGGATATCGGCTCCTGAAGTGTGATGCATTCAGAGAGGTGGCATTGAGTCGAGATTTCACTCAATGGATGCAGCGCATATTTGAAGTTTGGAATGACTTGATTGATCAAAGTCAAACCTTGAACATTTTCCTGGTTCGACCATCACCACCTTTGACGAGCCGCCAACAGAGACCTGCTGCACATCTGATATTGGTCCAGAGCCTCCCTTTGGATGGTTGTGCCAATCTTTTCACGACAGTCACGGCTCAGAGCGAGGTCATCCAGTTTGCCAAATTTGCTCCACCTATTATGCAGAAGGCCAACGTCATCATATCAGCTGAAGTACACAATGAATGCCTGCCCATTGTGAGAGACACGCAGTGTATGACTTGGCATGGTGATTTCGAAATCAGAGAGAGAGTAGCCATTCGCAACCGCAATGGGCTATCTTTCTTGGTTATCATCAATGGCAACAGAGAAGATCAACAGTCTGATGAGTGGTCGATCTGGGAAGCAGAGCAACATGACGGAGATTCCCTCATGCAATTGAACACCAAAAGAACCACCATCGTCTTGGAGGCATTGATACCCAACACAGTCGCGGTCCAACTGATTGATGGCACAGAAGATAGGCAACTGCCTACACCGCTAGAAGTTGAAGCTCCAGGACGACCAGATCAAGTCGAAGCTGAACTACACCACTGGGGACATGATTGTCAGGTCTTCTCGTGCGTATACCAGCCCAAGCTGCTCTGTGTTCATCGAGGTCAACGGCACGGAAGAGAAGCACCTGGACTACATCACTATTGGTTTTGCCATGATGATTCAGAAGATCCTGAAGGCTGCTTCTTGCACAGCACTACGCAAGAGATGACAGAAGTCCACCTCATGAGCTTTCTGTGCAGTTTAGGTTATCCACCAGCTGTCATCCTAGAGGAGAATCAGCTCAATGCGGATTGGACACAAATTGTGTTTCATCATCGAGAACCCATCATGCCAGAGAACCTGAGGAAGATCAAGCAGAAAAGCCCCTGGCCACCAAGGAGCAATTTAGGGCGCACGCAGCAGCCCATGTTTGTCCTCACTGACCAGGAGAAGCCACACCCGAAATGCAGGCTCTCAACGAGCTATGATGCTGTAGATTTACAAGAACTCTTCAAGTCAACGAAGAGCATGCTGTGCACAAATTTTGAAGTGTTGAACCTTCCAAGTGAGCTGCATGAAGCCATACATGCTTACCCAATATGCCCATCTTTTGACGTTTGTGATCTTGACCATTACGATCGCTTACTCATCTTCACTGACGGCTCCTCCAGACCGAGCATGCGCATGTTGGATGCACATCATGCGGATGCCAAAGGACACCCTGACACATGGGCTTTCATTGTGGCGGCAGAGCGCTACACAGACCATGAGGCCTCTGAGCTTGTGATCCTTGGCTGGACTGCGCAGCCGATCAGATATGATGAGAATGGGTCTGCATTCATGGGCATACAACGGATAGGATCCGATATGGCAGAGCGTGGTGGTCTCATCGCCGCAGCAATGTGGAGGCTCAGTCTCAATCACCAGATCTCCACGGTCATTTGTACTGATTCAGATACTGCCGGAAAGCAAGCATTTGGGCAGATCGGAGTGCAATCTCCTGATGAGTCGTACAAATTCCTG